AAATGTTGTTTCCACATTAGAGATGTGTTCACATTCACAGCATACAGCAGAAACTATGTTCACATCACTGGGCTCTCTACACCATTTCAGCTGCACAGACGTCACAGAGTCACCATCTCTGTTTCTAGGCTGCCACAATAAACCAGCTCAACAATGAAAACATTAGATTTCTGCTTGTAGCTCCATCAGTCACCATGACAACATCTCCATCTGAAATATTACAACAAACCTTTTCTCCACCTACTCATCTCTGTTTAACTTCCTACAAGCCTCACTGCTCTTTCTTACACACACAAACTTTACAATGAAATGACCTCAGCTTCTGTTTACAATCAGGTATCAGACCAAATGTCTGTTTGTCCATAATAAACTGGCGCCCCCCTCAGGACCTATTAGTGCTTGAAAAGGATCAGTCTGAGTATGATGACTGGGGTTGGTGAGGGTGGTAGTGATGACATGGTAATAACAATATTTGGATGTTTTTCTTTAGTCTCATACGTCCAATGGATTTAAAACTGTCTATAATGAGGCTACTATCAGGTTGATCTCATCCTGTGCTGATCATTGTTGTGTTTGTAAAATGTAGCTCATCAACAAACATGACTTACTTGATACTGACAAGTTGAAGGCTTCACTCCACTTTGTTGAAGAATATGAGTCATCTCTGCGTCGACTCTTACACATGTAGTCTCCACTGCTGGACTCAGAAACATTGAATATCCAGTAATTATTGTGAGTCCACTGTGTGGTCTGGTTGGGTCCTCTCCATCTATACTCCCACTCAGTGGTTTCACCTCCTTCCTGCACCTCACATGTCAGACTGATCGTCTCACCGCTGAATATCTGAGGCCAGCTGGGTCGTCCTTTTACAACAACCTTATTAGAAACTGTTTATTAACAGTTAAGATACAAACAGAAACATCAGCTCAGCAGAGAAAACTTAACACTTTGTGTCTGAATGTGAATTTTAAACTAAATGACTGAACTCACAGGTTATCTTAATGGTGACATCATCGCTTTTATCAGCGTAGTAAAATGGGTTTCCTCTTCTTCCTCTGCAGTGGTAGATTCCTCCTTGAGATACTCTGATTACTCTGTTTTGTTGATCATCTGTTCTCATTTGATCTTCAGTGTTTTGGTCACGTCTGAACCACTCATATTTCCAGCCAGCAGAGCTCCTCACAGAGCAGTTCAGTGTCACACTGCCCCCTACATGTATGATAGTTGATCCTGGAGTCAGTGTGGCCCTGGGTTTACCTGCTGTTAGGAAAAAAGGGGAAATGCATTATTCATTATGAACTTATACAAATATAGAAAAGGGGAATTTAAAAAGTTGGTTTAATGTGGTGAAACTTTCCACCCACATTCCTCTTTATCATATTTTTCTATTTATTTTCTCTCTGTGTTCTTTGATTTTCTTCTCATGTCTTTCTCAACATCTTGATATTGTTTCTGTAACTAAATAATTACAGTATAAATGTTTTTCTGACCTGAAAAAGTCACACTAATGTAAACTATCACAGGTCACTGCTGAAGGACACACAATGATGGCTTCACAGCTCTGTGTGGTTTTTGGTTTAAATAACAGAAACATCAGTCACTTTAAACTTTTCATGTTTCTTCTATTTCTTTGTTTTAAAGTTTAGAGTGAGTATTTTATCACTGTGTGTACTGTGAGTGATGTAACAGGTAAAATCAGTTTCCTGGTTAAAGTTTATGCTTTAAAGCAACAGAAACAAGTTTCCATGACAACATTATTTAGTGCACATGTCACTGACGACTTACCCTTCACAGTTACAGAGACAGTGTTACTGTTCTTTGTTTTCTGGTATCTCTTGTTGTCAGCAGAGCAGGTGTATTTACCACTCTGAGCTGTAGATGCAATTTTTATACTGAGGTCTTTGTTTGTGTTGGAGTTTAAAATTTCTCGACCATCCTTGATAATTTTGTATTCCCAGTCAGTGTGTTTTCCTTCTTTCATGTCACATTTGAAGCTAACAGTCTCTCTGATGAACAAGGTCGAGCTGGGATGAACAGTTAGAAAAGCATCTAGAATCCAACACAAACACAACATTATTGACCTGAAACACTTTAATGTACTTTACAAATCAAAATCTGTGGTGATATGTTCATAAACTTATAAATATATTGAGAAATAAAAACAGAAATGGAAAGTGTTTAAGATTCATGCATTAAGATGAATATTTACTAAATAAATGAACAGTGAAAACTGTTCAGTCACCTTTCGTGTGTCCGCTGCAGAGGAGCGTACAGAGAACTGCAATAAAGGAAGAAACTTCACA